GATTACAGGCACGCGCCACCACGCCCAGCTAATTTTCTGTATTTTTAGTAGAGATGGGGTTTCACCATGTTGACCAGGATGGTCTCGATCTCTTGACCTTGTGATCCACCCACCTTGGCCTCCCAAAGTGCTGGGATTACAGGCGTGAGCCACCGCGCCTGGCTAATTTTTGTATTTTTAATAGAGACAGGGTTTTGCCATGTTGGCCAGGCTGGTCTCAAATTCCTGATGTAATACAGTTTTATTATTAGAGATTTATACCTTTGGCTTAGTTTTTCTTGTCTGTTATGAAACGCAGGTATTCCAGGAGATGGACTGTTAGGCTCTTTATTTTTTATTTACTTGCTTTTTTGAGATAGAGTCTTACTCTGTCGCCCAGGCTGGAGGGCAGTGGTGCCATCTTGGCTCACTGCAGAAGTGTTACGCTCTTTATATTGTCCTTTGGGGGAGCAACTTTATCAGCTCTTTGAGGAAGGGGTCAAGCACTGACCCCTTAAATTGGAAGGCAGTGAAAGGCAAGCTCTTCTTGATTATGGTGGAGTGGGGTGGGTTGTGTGTCTTTATGGGTGGTGTGGCTGGGCCCCTGGAGCTCTGCCTCTTGCCCGTGCTGCCTCCTGGCTCCTGGTGAGGAGAAATGTCACACCACGTAAGGGTGCCGGGGAACATGGCCAAGCCCTCTTGTGACTTCTCATTTCCCTCTCTCCACAGGTCCGACAACTCTTTCAGCTTCTTTGTGTTCTTCTTTGTATTTTTTTGTCAAATAGGGATCTACATCATCCAGTTGGTTGGCATCCCTGGCCTGGGGGACAGGTGAGACCTGGGCGTCACAGAGGGAATTAGGCTTTAGATGTGGGGCTCAGCCTTTCTTGCTGTTTTCTAGCGCCCAGAGAGCCCCGCCAGTGACCCTGTTTTTCCCGTGGCAGGGAGTGGGTGAGTGGGCCAGCTTGGATCTGCTTTGGGCCTTCTCCCCAGTTCTTCCTCTGCAGCCACTCACTTTTTTTCTCCTTGATACTAAAGGCATCAAAAGACACTCACTGTCAGTAGGGTGCAGTGGCTCATGCCTGGAATCCTAGTACTTGGGAGGCCAAAGCAGGCAATTGCTCAAGCCCAGGAGACCAGCCTAGGAAACACAGGGAGACCTCATTTCTACCAAAAATAAAAAAGTTAGCCTGGTGTAGTGGCATGCACCTATAGTCCCAGCTACTTAGGGGGCTAAAGCAGGAGGATCACTTGAGCCTGGGAGGTTGAGGCTGCAATGTACCATGATTGTACCACTGCATGCCAGCCTAGGTGACAGAGTGAGGTCCTGTCTCAAAA